TGAAGTAATAAAATTCTCTTTGTTTTTTATAAAAAAGAATTTCTGTCTTTCTTTGTGTGTGTGTGTGTGTGTGTGTGTGTGTGTGTGTGGGTGTGTGTGTGTGTGTGTGAGAAGTATTGGTACTAATATAGTTAGAGTTTTCCATGACTTCTCATGTGTCTGTTTTCCATGTACAGCAGGGGTGTCCAGTCTTATCTGCAAAGGGCTGGTGCGGCTGCAGGTTTTCACTCCAACAAAGCAGGAGGTCACCTGCAGCCACACCGGCCCTCTGTGGATAAGATTGGACACCCCTGATGCATCAGCTAAAATAAGATGAGTTTCTTCTCTTCTGAGCCTCAGGCCAGCTGAATTGGATGGTTAAAATGTTGAAGTGCTGCCAATAATCGCAACACCTCTCTTCATTTAGTTCTGGCTCCCTCTGATTGGTCATCAGCATTTTACATTGATTTTACAGCAAGTTCTACACAGTAAATTTTAAGTGTAACTCATTAAAGTTCATGTCTGAACCTTTAAATTTTCTTCTGAGCCTGCTCAACCACAAATCTGAAAAAATGTAAATCAATTAAACCATAAAAATTCTGCTTTTCTCACCATATTAAATGTAGTGTTTGGTCACATAAGACTATAAAGTCTTAAAAACTAAGTGTAAAATGTCCTGGAATTAGTAGTTAAAGTATCTTTGAATTTGCGTTAGAATACTCCATTTTCTGGTTGTTTACTTAGTCAGTACAAAACCTCAAAAACCCTTTTTTTTGTCCTTCCTTACTCTATCATAAAATATCATGTCTTCTAAATGTCTCAGGATGATTCCATTCTTTGTAACTCTTAAAAACTAAAACTTACTAACTTTTTAACTTTTTCAATATTGAAATCTCAGGAACGACATGTCATTACAGGTTTCTTTGTTGATAATCAGGGATGCCTTTTTAGCATTGGTGCTAAAACAGGTCTTTTAAAAAACAGATCTATGCTACCCAGTAATACTGACCATGACAATACTAGTCAATATAAATTGCTACTAAAAAATTCATATTGTGCAGTTGTTCTTACAAAATACTGTAAAATGTATTCTCATGCATTACTGGCTGAGGTGTCTTGGCTATTCAGTGACATTGCCTCTTAATGAATGATCAGTGTCGGGCAAAATACTTTGAAAAAGTGGTGATGGCTGAATACTGAATACACTGTCAGTACAGTATTCCATTACAGTAACTTATTCAGAATGCGTTTAGAACACATACTGATAAAGTAAATAGGAAAAACTGCTGTGATATTCATTTCATTCAGTTCCTTGCTGTTACTAGTTGGCAGTTTTGTTCATGTAGTTCTTCTGATAATGTTTCATGAAAAATTCAATTATTCAAATGAATACAAAAATAAATATAAAATTCTGTTATTTTCTCTCTCATCGCCTGCTTCAGTCCACTTCTGCTCTCATAATCCCACTGCCCTTTTATGACCCAACCCAACAATTCACCACATCACAATGACCAAATATCACGGATTTGACTATAAAATGATTAGCTATATGATTTTCAATTAATCAAAGGCATGTGACTTGCCATGGAAGGCATGCACAAGTCCAGTACAATGCCAAAGCTAAGCTTATCACTCGTGAATATGTTCACCACTCAGTTCAGTCACCCCCCCCAAAAGAGTTTACTAAAGCTCAGATTAATAACTGGTTCATTACAGTGATTTATCAGTCTGCTCAGGCTTTAGCAGGAACTTCAGTGTTTGTAAAGAAGACATTACTCTTGGCTTTTTACGGTAGGTATTTACATGCCGTGTGCTGAGTTGAAAATAGTTACTTAACAGCAATTGGGGGGGGGGAGTCTTTGAAAGATGATACATGTATACTTATATATACACACACATATATATATATATATATATATATATATATATATATATATATAGTTCTGTAATCCATTATATCCCAATCCCGTGTAGAAGTGAGTGTGCATGTGCTTCTAGATCAAAGGCATTTAGGGACATCTACTGGAGCCAAGTGGTACTGCAATGAGTGAATGAGAATGTAGGGAGGGGCAGCAGGTCTGAGAAGGTTGCGATGGAGCTCCATCCAGTACCTTTGGGATGAGATGGAGTGATCCAGAACTGATCATCCAACATCAGTACCTGACTGATGGGGGCTGAATGCAATCAAAACCTCACAACAATGTTCCAGCGTCTAGTATAAAGTCTTCTCAGAAGTGTAGAGACTGTTACTGCAGCAAAAAGAGGCGGAGGGTACTTTTTTACTCAGTTACATTTGAGCTTTGTGATTGGTCACACCCCTGACTCTGGAGCTTTAACGTCTTACTGTAGAGCACTGAGAGCACAGGGTCTCAATCCTGCTCTAACACATCCACTTCAACTGAAGAAAGGCTTGTTAAAGAGCTGATTAGTTGAGTCAGTTGTGTTGGGAGCAGAGAAAACACTAAAATGTGCAGGGCAGGGGGTCATGCAGGACCAGGGTTGGTAGGTTTGCATAAATCAAAGGTCTTGTCCAGTCTGATGTTCTGATAAGTTGTCCTACCTTGTCAAAATGTACAAACCCAATTCTGAAAAGTTGAGACAGTCAGTAAAATGCAAATAAAAACTAGAAGCAATGATTTATAAATCTGCTTTGACCTGTATTTGAACAAAAACAGTACAAAGACAAAATATGTATGTAGTATTTTACCTTATCAGCTTCATAGTGTTTTTGTAAATATACACTCATTCTGAAATTGATGTCCACAACACGTTCCAAAAAAGTTGAGACAGGGTATTTTAAGACTAGAAACATGTTGAAATGTTCAAAAAACATCTTAAACAGTTTTGTTTTTCAATTATGCCAGGACATAAAAGGATCATCCAGTAAAAGCCAAGCCCTTAATGAGTGAGGATGGGTCGAGGCTCGCCACTCAACCCAAATGATTGAATCAGCAAACAATCCAACCGTTTAAAAATATCATTCCTCAGCCAGGGATCACACGAATTTTAGGTGTTCCACCCTCTATGGTGCACAATATAAGCAACATACAATAACAAATGCCCCATATAGTTGCACAGCTGAAGACCAGTATAACAGAAGAATGTCAACACATTACACTTTCAAAAAAGGTATCAGGTTGTGTCTTCAGTCCCCAAACAATTATTAAGCATTGCAAAAGAAAGATTATATAACACAGGGGTAAACATGCTCCTGTGAACTTAAATAAGAAATATGAATAAAAACAATAAAACAAATATAAAATAAAAAAATAATAATTTTATTTGTATAGCACTGTGTTTCATACATAAAATGCAGCTCAAAGTGCTTCACAACATAAAATAATAAAACAGTAAAAACACTAACAAAAGAAATAGCATAACTAAGAAATAATCATAATAATAACAGGAAATAAACACAAAAAACAGAACAATAAAACAATAAAAAAGTATATTTTGATAGTCACAATGACCTTATCAGAAAATGCACCCAGCAGTAAACTATATTTTGATAACCTAATAATAACATCAAGCTGAATCTGTTTACTGCACTTGAAGTAAGGCTGAGTTAGCATCAAAAACATGATTAAATGTTAGAAAAATACTAAGCGACTATACTGTACTACCCTGGTCCTGTAGCGCTGGCTGTCCTGCGTAGTGTGTTTTCTGCTCCCAACACACCTAATTCAACTTATCAGCTCATTAACAAGCCCTTCCTGAGTGGAGGTGGGTGTGTTGGAGCACGAACACTAGAATATACAGTGCAGGGGGTCCTCAGGACCAGGGCAGAGACCCTGTACTCTAACTAATGCATGTGCAGTAGGACTGCTTGATGGGTATGACATAGTGTAGTGAATATCCTGGCCCAGTTTGACCCCCTGGCGTTAAACTTCTTTTGACTGGTGCGCACTAGATCAGGGTTTCTCAACCACCAGGCAGAGGACCACAAGTGGGCCGCAAAGCATGCCTTGTTGGTCCCTGGACCTATACTGAGGGGAGCCAGTGGTCCGAAGTGGCCCTGAGATGGCACTTTGTCATAAAAATCAGTGAAAAAAAATCATTGACTTAACAATAAAAAAGAAATATAAAATACTAATACTATAAATACTAACAACATACTAAAGCAAGCCCCACAATAACAGTGCACAAAGGTAGTTGTCAATTTTTTTGCCCTTCGCCTCTAAAAACACCTGACCTTTCAGTTACATTTACAGCATTTGGCAGAGACTCTTATCCAGAGCAGATTACACTTTGATCATTTTACACAGGTAGGTGAAAGTAGTGTTAGGAGTCTTGCCCAAGCACTCTTATTGGTATCGTGTGGGGTACTTACCCAGGTGTGGGATTGAGCCCCAGTCTACAGCATAGAAGGCAGAGGTTTTACCCACTACACCAACCACTTTCAGTTATCCACTCACACCAATATTCTGCTGATATTTCATGTTTACTGATCCACATCACATAGCCCCGCTGGTGACATCCTGTATAAATAAAAATAATGCGTGGCCACACCTTATTAACGCGTGGGAACGAGATCCTAATGCGTGGCCACGACTTAGTAAGGCGTGGGAATGAGATGATTAAGCCGTGGCCACGACTTAGTAAAGCATGGGAACGAGATCCTAATGCGTGGCCACGACTTAGTAAAGCGTGGGAATGAGATGATTAAGTCGTGGCCACGACTTAGTAAGGCGTGGGAACGAGATCACGGCTTACTAAGTCGTGGCCATGCATTAGGATCTCGTTCCCACGCTTTACTAAGTCGTGGCCACGGCTTAATCATCTCATTCCCACGCCTTACTAAGTCGTGGCCACGCATTATTTTTATTTATACAGGATGTCACCAGCGGGGCTCCGTACATTTTTAAGCAAAAACGTTGAGTTTTGTTCTCTTTCATCCTTCGTGCTTTCTAGTGATGAACAGGTAAGCTTTGAGGTGGAGAAGGTTGAGAACTGCACTAGATAGTGAACGAGTGCGCCAATCGGGATACACCCAATGTCACGTCACTTCCGGCTTTCGCTCTCTCCGGTTGGTGCTGCTCCTGACCGACTGTCAGCGGCAGACGGAGCTCAGCGCCTCCGGTAGGAGCCGTGAAAATCAGTTCTCCTGCTAAATAAAGGGGGAGATGAAGTCCAGGGTTCAGGAATAAGAGCTTTCAGAGCGGCGCCTCATCGGAAACACAGCGGAACGGTGAGCGGTGACGCAGCCCAGCCAGGCGCGACGGTTGGCTTTCAGTCTTTAAACGATTCATTTATGAAAAGCTCAGCTTTAGCATTTAATCACACGGTTTTACGTTAAAACGCGGTCACCTTCTGAGAGCGTGTCTGATAGTCACGGCGTGGTGGTAAATTTTCGACGAAGCTGAATTCAGCTTCCTATTCGCCAGCTTCTCGTTCGAAATGTCCCGTTCCACCTTAAATGATGCACCCGGAAATCACTTTCTGAGGCGCCGGAGTGTACCTGCTCTGCCATTTAAGGTGGAACGGGGAAATTCGAACCAGAGGCTGGCGACTGTTTTTGAGGTTGAATATTCGGAACATAATTTGCAGTAGAGGTGAATCTTTACATAGCCTAATGGGATGTTCTGTGTTATTAGCACTATAATATTATTAGAAGCAGCAGTTTGGAGAGGAGTAGGAGTAATAATAAAAGTCACGGCTGTCATAAGACTCTCACATTGCCTCTCTCAGTCTCATGAGCAGAGGAGTTAGAGGTGTGTGGAGTAGTTTGAACCCATACTCAAGTAAAGGTCTTGTTGCTTCAGTGAAACGTGGACTCAAGTAACGTTAAATTAAAAGTACTTTTCCTTAAAACAACTTGAGTAGAAGTACAACAGAACCACATCAGACAACCACTTAAGCACTTGTAGAACAGGAGTGGAACTTCTTAGCACATCTTCCAGCTTCTGTCAGCTCAGGAGCTGAATCCTGTTAGACTCTTCTCCTCTTTTTTAATGCTTTTGGTCTAAAACAGTAAGCTAAAGCTTCCAAAGTCAGAGATGTGTTCAGTGTGATCGTTACAAAGCAGGGCAGATGCTATCAGCTAAGCAATTAGTAGTGAAAGGCAGTGACTGAAATGTAACTGAGTAGAAAGATTTGTCAAATATGCTTGAGTGGAAATAAAATTATCTTTTGAAAAAATTAGGAAAATACAAAATGCTAACTGAGTAAATAGAGATTATAACTGTCCACCTCTGCTTATGAGAATTTTGCTTGCTTATTTTTACATCAAGCCTTATTTTTCCCACTGAAATTCTATTTTCTAATTTTTGTTTTTATACTCCAGGATTGCAGTAGCTGTAACTCAGGTCTCGATCTATTAATGTTTGCAGTCGAGTGGCTGGTCCAGTCAGAGTAAACACTGTACCCGGAAACACTGTTCTACACTTTTTGCACGATGTGCCGTCTGCCTGGAACAGATATGATGTCAGAAGCGCTGTATGTCTAAAAATATCCAGACACCTCTTATGATTAGTGAATTCACAGCCACACATGAGCCTGAGGTCACCATACCCAGTGCAAAGCGTCGGCTAGAGGGTTATACAGCCCCCAGCACTGGGCGGTGGAGCAGTGGAACTGCATTCTCTGGATTGTTGGAGTCCATTTCCTTTTTTTTTGGGGGGGGGTGGATCTCTATTAACACATTTGAAAGAAACGTTGGATGAGCAGGTGGATACTGCACGTCTGATGATGTCTGAAAGACCTTTAGTGGATGAGAATCATTGGTGCTTGTGATAGTTTCAGATGGTATAGTAGCCTCATATCTCACATTCTCTTTCTCTGTCTCTCTCTAGGAAGACAGGCTACATGGAATCCACCACCGGGACATCATGTCCGTTTTTGAAGCTGTCACTGGGCCTCTTCGGTCAGAGCTGAGCACTGGGACTTCGTGTTTGTGGTCATCGTGTCTTCTGGCTCTCTGAGGCCGACCTACTCTCTGCTAGCCTTAACAAACAACCACGACATGGCACCCGTGCCCCCTGGCATTCGATTCCTGGCATCCTTTAACCGGGAGCAATGGTCAGTTAGCATCTCCTTCCTCTCTCTGTTCTTGTGCTGCTCTCAATCCTTTATCAGCTGCTCTTTTCGTTCTGCTTTTTTCTCTTCAGCTTTTTCTTTCAGTGTCTGTTACAAGCTTTGTTTTGAATAGAATGGATTATTCTCATTGTTTAAGTACAGTGGCATGCTGTTTTGCAACTATGACGTTTAGCATTAAACAAAATGCTTAGGATTAATCATTAATAGTAAAGGTGTATTGGTTTCAATAGATATGTAACTAGATATGTAACAGTGCATTCTGACATTGACATCACAAGGCAAAACTGACAATGTGCATCATGAAGATGTAACAGTGCATTGTAGAGAATGTGCCTGCTATTAATAATGCCATCTAATGCATTCGTTTGTAAGCGATCAGCACAAAAAGTATCAAGAAATGGAAAAAATGAATGGTCGACTTAAATGATAATGATAATCATAATCCCCCCTTGATTTTTTTCTGGGGACCTTTCATTTGCCATCTTTCATGGAAACCACTGTCAGTGATCAAAACTAGGCATCTGGGACCATCATGTCTGTTTTTGTATAGTTTATGGCTCAGTTTATAGCTCAAAGGAATGTGTCATGTTCTTTCCTGTTTTGCTGGGTCTTGTCACTTTTTTACAGCTCCAGAGAATATGCAAGACAGTGTCTACATTTGCGGCGCAGACTGAGAGACAGATTACTAGCTGGCTCCTGTGGATAACAGCCTGGTTCTAGATTAAAAGGGATTTTCAGTGGAGAGTGTCTACTGACTGTGCAGTTCATTCTAAAACTGGCCTCAAATCAAAGAGCTTCCTCTCTTTCCACAGCAGCCTGTTGCTGCTGCTGCTCACATTGCAGAGAGTGTTCTTTAAAATGGGTTTTAAATACAGTACACAAAAGCTGCTTTTAAGTCTCAGACTGTTTGGATTCATGTGAGTGGCGGCTGTAGATTGTGCTTTATCCAGGCAAGTTATGTTGCCCTGTCTTTGAGTGCATTATTGAACCTGCTGAACGGAGGGTGAATGAACTTAGCAACAGCGTGGCCTTGGTATCCTCAGGAGGGAGACACGTGTGCATAGGCACAGTGGCCAGGCCTGATGACGTTGTCTGTTGTGTAATTGCAAACATGGAAAGAAGAGCCGCCCTTGAGACAGGAGGGTTACTTGGCTACTTTACTGTTGCTTGAGGTTGTCTTTCTCACTTTTTCCGTCACCAAGCTCTGTTTGATGTGAAGCGTTCTGGGCAGCATTTGTGAAACTCGCAGTACAATCACAGTAGCTTCAGATATCACAACATCAGGTGATATTTAAGTTTGCAGTAATAAAGTTAAAGGGAAATTGTCTGTGATGTAAACAAAGTCATTTGTGGTTTGATATGAAATGGTACACTCTTAAAAAGGTGTTTTTTCAAGGGTTCTTTAGTAAAGGGGATGGTTCTATTTGCTTAGGTTCTTTGTATGGTAAAATTATCTTCAGATTGATGGAGAATGTGTTTTATGTGGTTCTATATAGAACCTTTTTGAAATAGAACCATACAACACATTCTCCAAGCAAAGAACTAAGGAAGAAAAATGGTTCTGTATTTTTATTTTTAAAATTTTTTACGAGTGTGAAGAACTTTAAAATCTTTAAACTTCTAAGTGAAGAATTCAACTTCACTCTCAATGTTATACAGCTTTCGCTGTCATTTTATGATCTTCTGTGGCTCAATTCATAATTGTGAATGTACAGCTTCTTACTGTGCCACTAATTATTTGAAACCTGTGATGTTGCACAGAACTAACATATTAAAATCAGTTTATTTGGTTGTCTGCAAACTAACTGGCTTCATATTGGTGAAAACATTGATTCCAAACTTGAGATAGGTAGTGAATCACTCAGCACTTGGTGTGTAAACAGTGGCCCAGTTGAGGCCATTATCTCGCTAAATCCTTCAGTCCTTGTATTATAAATTCAAATGAAGTATGTCTTTGTCTTTCAGCCGTAAGCAGTAACTGTGATGATAAGCCTGTGTTCTGAGTAAAGGCTGAGGAAATGAGCTTGTTGTGGAGTGATTGATAGAGAGAGAGTACAACTGTCCTGATCTGTCCTCTCTCAAACATCAGCACATTCTTAACTCAGCTAGCCTAGATCTCTGATTATGAACCACTGAGCGGACTATGAGTGTCAGTCTTTTGTATGGTAACCAAATGCCACTTAGTCTTTTGAAGGTAATCTAAGACCTCTGTCTTAGATCTCTGTGAGGTAGCAGATACGGACTCTGCCCTTACGCTGCTGTTTCCTTACCGTTACTATAAAGAGCAGTTTCACGTCATGGTGTAGTATGATCTGCGTCACTGCTATTGCTCAATGTCTATTCAGGATAGCATACTTTATCTTTCTATGCTGAAACACACCCTAGGAACACAGGAATAAAGACAGAGACTGAATACCAAATACACAGGGTGTACAATACTGTAGGACAAAATACCAAATCACAATGATATCTCCACATGGTGCGACGAAGTTGATTTAAACTCGAAGGTTTTTCTATATATATATATATATATATATATATATATATGTATATGTATATATGTGTGTAAAGTGTTGCTCCGTTATGTCGATGTTATATTGGTTTAAGTACCGATACTGGCACTTAAACACAGTATCAGTATTAGTGATGGAGATACTGATACCTATGACTGACACCATGGAGCAGTTCTGATGCTCACATGTGCTTCTGTATACCAATTAACAACACATCGACTGTGTGGGTCGATAAGCAGCAGTACAAATGCTCATAGCAAAACATGCAACATCAGGATCTCATGGAAAGGCGATAGTATTGGGTGATAGTCCAGTTGGAATTCTTCCTAAGGTATTTGTTTCACCAGTACCCCACAAATAAGCCAAATAAAATAAAACTTGCACACAATAATGGGAGCCCCTTACCTGAGCCAGGCCAAAGGCTTCTTTTAGTAATCTCTCATCTCCCACTGTGTAGTCAGTTACAGTCTAAGTTAGCGTTAGTTCAGGATTTTATTGAAGGATTAGAAGTGAATGTTAGAGGGACATTTGGAAGAAACCGTCAGTCTCTTGAGGAACTGTTAGCCTTTAGCATATCAGCCCTCTAGCCAGGCCTGTATCGGCATTGGAGAGGGAAAAAAAGTCCATTCCTATTTTTTTAACCTCCTCAATAAATTTGTAGTGATTAGTTGGCAGTTTGCATTAAGATAATATAATTAATTAATTTCTTTTACTGATCGCTTATACATTTAAAAAAAACGCAGCCTAATGGACTGTTTAAGTTCTGAATGCATGCATAGTGTGTTTATATAATCTTTGATGAAGTCCTTTTAAAGGCTTCCTTATTTGTCCTTTTCCATTAAATTATTTAGGAACAGTTAAAAGGCTATGCATAGTTCACACACATGCTTTTTAATATTTGCCCATTTTTAAAAGCTCAGATCACTCAGTTAATCAGTCTGAATATCTTGACAATTGCGATTTTAGTTATTAGTGTTAATGACTAATCATGATAAAAGACTAATCTGTATGATATTATTATTATTATTGTTGTTATTATTATTATTATTATTATTATTAGTAGTAGTAGTAGTAGTAGTAATAGTAGTAGTAGTATTATTAATATTATTTTTTTGCATATTGACAGTATTATCAACACTGTGGTAGCTACAGCACACATTTTTACAGCATTACCTCAATATCTAGTGAAGTATAGTCAATATGTGCATTAAACTGTATGGAAAACTACATACTACCCTGCTAAATAGTATGTAGACATTAGAAGCCCATTTATTAGTATGTATTAAATAGCAGTTTGTGGTTTTGGACACATCCATAGAGAAAAACTGTTCCAGGGTGTTTTCACAACTTGAGTACAAATAGCAAGAATTACGCTTTTCCTTTCTCCTTGAGTATAAAAAGAGAAACTTATAAAGCTTCTGTTTAGATCCTGATGTTCGGCAGTGTTCACCAGTATTGAATTTGCTCTTATACCCTCTTACACAAAACTGTGCCTCTCAGGGTATGAATGCTGTCTCGCAGGTGGTATCTTCAAAGTTACGTGTTCAGTACCTTTAGTTAGGGAATTTAACTGTACCATATTACATTACAGTTATAGTTTTTAAGTTGCAGTGACTCCATATACTGTCCTGACCTTTTATTTTAATTTACAACTTTAAACAGCTATATTATTGAAACGTACAGAATACTTTCCCAGTATACTTTTTTAAAACTCATTTAAAGGACACTGTTGGGTCCTATAGACCATGTTGTACCATTGAGGGTACATTTACATTGTCTGTATCCCGAAGGCTAAAAACATACCTGAACTGTACCTGTACCTGACAGTGCAGTGTCCATTTCAGTCCTGTTTGCACTGGACAGAATAGCCTCAAATTGAGATAAAGCAAACAATGTAAGCGTCTAAAGCTTTCACAGTGTGTCTTTCTGCAGTTTTTTTGGTCCAGACCTGGCGTTCAGCAGTGTTTAATGGAAGGCGGCCAGCGTGGCGTGAGATGAGTGAAGTCTGAGGTTAGGTTAGTCTATTCTCAGACAGGAGTGAGTCTTCAGCAAGGGATGATTTGTTTGCTAAACACACAGGCTGCGGGCAGCGCTGAATGGAGAGTGGGTGTGAGGGACGGCTTGTGTTTGCATGGCAAGTTAAATATCACAGATATTCCTTATGCTGTTGCTAATGTTGCTGCTGTATGTTGTTGCCAGAGCTACTGATTTACAGACGACAGGCCAAGAATGCAAATCAGTGAAGTGATGATGGTGCCTATGCAGTCTGTTGGTTACGGGTTTCCCGTTCCTGATGCTGAGAGCTTATGCCAAAAAAAAAAAATCAAAATAATTAAACATAAAAAGTTTCGTTTAATTAAAAAGAGTAGAGTGGAGTTCACTCTTAAGAAAGATGGTTCTTCAAGGGTTCTTTAGTAAAGACAATGGTTGAATTTGATGCAAGCAACACATTTCAAAAAAGTTGCGATGAGGCAACAAAATACTGATAAAGTTGTGTAAAAAAACATCTGGTGGAATATCTTGCAGCTACTTAGGTTAATTGGCAACAGGTCACCATCATGAATGGGCATAAAAAGAGAATCCTAGAGAAGCTGAATCTTTCAGAAGTGAAGATGGGGAGGGTTCACCACTCTGTAAAAGACTGTGTGGGCAAATAGTGCAGCAATTCAAGAATAATGTTGCTTGATGTAAAATAGCAAAGAACTTGATAATTTCATCATCTACAAAACATATCATTCAAAGAATCTGGAGGAATCTCTGTGTGCAAGAGACTAGACCAAAAACTAATGTTGGCTGGCCAAGATCTTCGGGCCCTCAAGTGGCTCTGCATTAAAACAGACAGGATTCTGTAGTTGAAATCACTGCATGAGCTCAGGAACACTTGAAAACCACTGTCTGTGAACACAGTTCATCACTGCAATCACAAATGCAAGTTAAAACTCATCATATAAATTTATATAAATCATATATAAA